CACAAGGCCGATGATGCCAAGGACAACCTCCACCTCTCACTGCCCAAGACAACCTTGGATACCGCAGCTCACAAGGCCGATGATGCCAAGGACAACCTCACGTCTCATGCCAAGACTACCTTGGATACCGCAGCTCACAAGGCCGATGATGCCAAGGACAACCTCACCTCTCATGCCAAGACTACCTTGGATACCGCAGACCACAAGGCTGAAGATGCCAAGGACACTTTTGCGTCTCGCGCTAAAGCCGCTTTGGATTCTGCCGCTGACAAGGTGAAGGCCACAGTGGACACCGTGGCGGAGAAGTCGGTAGACATGAAGGACGGCATCGCCTCTGGAGCGAAGGCGGCAGTGGATGCGGTTGCGGAGAAGGCGGTGGACGTTAAGGACAGTCTTGCGTCTCAGGCCAAGACTTCGTGGGACACTGCAGCTCACAAGGCGGAGGATGCTAAGGACAACATCGCATCTCAGGCCAAGACTACCATGGATACCGCAGCCCAGAAGGCGGAGGACGTGAAGGACACAGTGCAGCTGAAGGCAAAGGACGCCGTGGAGGCAGGTGCTGGTGCTTTCCGAGGCATGAAGATGAGTTACAAAGATGCGGCACAGGGGGCCATTGACAGCGCCCATGCAGCTGAGCAAAAGGCAGCGGTACACGCGGCGGCTAAGCCGTCTGCGGAGGTGCCGTGTACAACCATTACTCGTGCGGTTTCCATTGAGGAGCTGATCAATAAGGACAAGAAGGTCGCCCCCGCGCCCCACGCCAAACAGGATGCCTTCAGAGCGGCCATCCGCTCCGCCAAGGAGTCCCAGTGCACCAAGCTCGCCACCACTACTCGCGCCAAGCCTGCCTCTGAAACCGTCTGCAAGTCCTGCCCCACACAGAGTCAGGATTGCACCGGACCCAACTGCCCCGCCCAAGAACAAGTCGCCTTGCCCCAACCCGACCAAAGAAACGACGAGAAGGCACCCCAACAGGCCGCTGCCAAGCCGGCTAGGCAGAATGAGGCCAAGGAAGACAACAAGTGCGAGGCCAAGGCATCTGATCAATGCCAAGACAAGAACCAATGCGAGCAAGGGTCGTGTGAACCTAACCGCAAGGACACGTGCGCTGCCGTGCAAGAGGCACAGTGCGCCATCGAAAAGGCGCAGTCCAGCCTCAACAAAGTCAAGTGTGACAGGCAGTAAACCTTTTTGACACACCAACGCACAACTTGCCGCCAAAGAGCGACCAAACAACACAAAGGGGTAGGGAAGACAAAGAAAAGGTTACTGAGGGTGGCTGCAACATGATTGAATGCGGTATGATGGGTAGAAGTGTTGCGCTAAGTGAGGCATCTCAGTGACTATGAGGTCTCAGTGACTATGAGGTCTCAGTGACTATGAGGTCTCAATGTGAGTAGGCCAGCCTCATTGCGAGTACTTCCTTCCGTCTGCAAATTTGCGGCGCAAAAGTTCCTGGTATTTGAGGTGTATTTCAGCCCCTCTTCCCTGGAGGTTGAGGTGGTTGACGAATTGGATAAACTTGGTTGACTTGGCGGCAAATTCTTCGTACGTAATGATAGCCTCTAGCAAGACCTCCGTGAGGGGGTGTTTGTCGGTCTCCATCTGAGCGTCATCAGTGGCATCAGTTGCCCGACTCGGGACAACGCCGTAGAAAGCTCTATGTTCGGGAAACGAGCAGGGTGTTGTATTCAGGTCTGAGAGGACTCCTCGGTTGCGCAGATTGTCGTACACCTTTGCCGCATACTTATCCATATCTACGGTGTATTCTACAGGCTGGTACAGTGTATCATTTGATCGACCATTTCCAATCAAACACACTACCGACATAATACACTGCTCGTAGGGTACAGGAACCTTCTCTTTCTTTATCCCGGGTTCATCGATGACCCCGGAGCCTGTCCTTCGGTGCTGCATCTCTGCATTCATCATCGCTTCATCCATCATCGCTTCATCCATCATCGCTTCATTCATCATCGCTTCATTCATCTTAACTTTTCTGCGTTCGACTTGGTTCACTAACTCACTGTCACTATCTGCATTCGCTACGTCCTCACTTCTGTCAGATACTGGCACAACTACTTCCTCAAATGGTTGTCTCACTTGAATGACGTACCTGGGCAGGAATCCCTCGAAGAAGGTGTCCAGCTCCTCCACTGTAGGCAAGCAGCCATCAAAGCAGAAATAACAAAAGGAACTGAGCGGCTGGGTCGAACTCGTAAACAAGTTTGAAATTCTGTCAACGTTCGCCACTGGCCAGAAATTAATCACTCTTTCAACAACCGTGGTCCCATCAACCGGACTTCGCTCTTCCTCCACTGTTCCAACTCCTCCCAAATATACATCATACACCGCTGACGTGTTGAATATTTGTAGCAGTACGGACTGAGTAATCTCCAACATAAAAATCACTACATCAAGGCCTTTGTTTACTACCCTTTGTTTACTGAGGCGTCAACCTATCCAACGACTGAGGCGTCGGTACTCTCACTCTGGAGCCTCTTTTCGTGGCGGTGGTGACACTGGTCCAACTTCGATCAGGTCCAACACTTTGATCAGGTCCAACACTTGGATCAGGTCCAACACTTGGATCAGGTCCAACACTTGGATCAGGTCCAACACTTGGATCAGGTCCAACACTTGGATCAGGTCCAACTTGGCCCAAATATGCGTGATTGAAATAACGGTCGTGGTCATAAGGGTGGTGATGGAGAACCCATGGTCGAAGACAGAGTCCAGACGGTGCTGAGCGGGATGGGCCGGTAAGTTGTGCTACGTTTGGAAAACATAGGAGACAGCCCCACATGGTCGGACATGTCTTTTCAGCCCCTGCTCTGGTCTCAACGAGATGATGATATTCCCTCATCGCTGGATTCAAGCATCTCTCCTCCGCTAGTCAGTAGACAACCTTCATTACGGAGCAGTCTAGAGCCACAAACCATAGCGCCACAAAGCAGTTCCCAAAACACGGACTCGAAGACAACCACTTTTGCCGATCATGAGACTGCCGATCATGAGACTGCCGACCTTCCCGGGTCTGCACACACCCCTGTTGCGTTGCACAGCCTCAAACAGTTCATGGAAGCGCCATTGCCCATGCAGGTATTCCAACGATACATTCGAAGCCGAAAGGCTACCGCGAACCAAGTTATGACATGCGAGACACTCACCCATGAGGCACCTACCGACTCACAGCCGGACGCCTCTTCTCTGATTGGCGACAAGGGAGATGAGTCAGAACCGGGAGGGCATTTGTTCATCGCCCGGTTTCTGCATCCCGCTTCACATCAAGTGGGACGCGTACGGGGCTGGAAATCCGCCAGGCGACTGATGCCGTGCGTCGCAAGGAACTGGGTCAAGTTTCATTTAAATCCTGACCTAGACCATCAGGAATTAGGACGTCAGGAATGGAACCGACGAGAGCCAGAAGGCTATGAGGTTGACGGCCCCCGCAGTTGCGGCAACCGTTCTGGGGAATATCAAGGCCCCGACCGTTACCAGGGAGAGGACCATGTGCCGTTGGGTACGAACGGGACGCGGTCCGAAGCGCCGTCTTCCGAGATGTTCGGGGGATCGACAGGTGAGTGTCCACCCCCCGACCGGTGGGCTGCGTCTAGTGAGGAGTTATCCTTCCGTCACTCGGAGTTATCCTTCCGTCACTCGGAGTTATCTTTCCGTCGATCGGAGTTATCCTTCCATGAGAGTCCTCGATGGGGAGTAGGCGGCGGTCGCTTTATGGCTGGAGGTCATCGGGAGCGGCGCTCAGTGGTTGTTGGGCTGGCCACGGCGTATGTGGCGTCCAGCATCTACGCCTTCGGCGGGTGTTCCAGGGCTCCGGGGGACACCGAGTTGCGCTACCTTGACTTGGACCGGGGCGAATGGCGACCGGTGGGCGTGGGGCGAAACAGCCCACTGCCCTGCAGCCGATGGGGGCACAGCATGGTCGGCTACCGCGACCAGTTTCTCGTCCTGTTCGGAGGTGATTCGGCCCACGGTCACCTTAACGACCTGTGGACCTTCGATCTACGGGGAGAGGATCTGCAGAAAGAGGATCTGCGAGAAAAGGACTTCTGGGGAAAGGACATCGGAGAGGACATCGGGGAGAATATGCGGGGGCAGAAGGCGGTGTGGACGAGACACGCGTACCATAGCGACCCACCGGCACCGCGATCGTTGCACAGTGCCGCGGTCTGGCGGAACTTTTTGGTGGTTTTCGGTGGCAGCAACGGCGCAGTCGTGTTCAACGACCTCTGGCTCTACGACTTGGACTGTGGCCTCTGGGCCGAAGTCATTCCCAGCACAGTTCTCCCGACCGAGAGCATCTTGGCGGAAATGGAACTTGGAGTCCCCTTCACACCGATGGCCCTTACGATTCCTTCTCTAGACGCGGGAGACAGCAGACGCGGGAACCGACGCGGGTGGCCGTCGGAACGGGCGGGCCAGGTTGCATGCGTGCATAGAGATTGGCTCTATATCTTTGGCGGCGCGTGTTGGGGGGAAATATACAATGAAGTTTGGCGAATCAGTTTGGTGGATGCCAAGATGCTCACCCGGACGAGGAGACCGCCGCTGCCTTGGAGCGTCTCACGTTCCTGGGAGCTGGTGAGCACAATGGGTCCGGATCCCTCGGCCAAGACGCGGCATGCCGGTACCGTCGTAGGCGACAACCGGTGGATGATGTACGGCGGTCGTGACTGCCAACTCTCAACCTTAGACCTAAACACCCTCCGCTGGACCACCGAACATCTGTACACTTCTACCATGGACCCAGATGGCTGGGGCCCAGATGGCTCCGACCCAGATCGCTCCGACCCAGATCGCCTCGACCCGGGCTGGAGGCAACCGGCAGCGGTAAAGGAGGTTGCGCCAGAACAGAGAAAGACTTGGTGGACCGCTCCTGAAATACTGCGCAAGAGATCTCGCCTTCATGGTCACTCAGTCAGCTACGATAACAGACGAGGAATCCTGGTCGTACTCGGTGGTTGTGATGGAGGACTTGTAGAAGCGGATAATACAATTCTCGTCAAAGGCACCAGCTGGACGGCTGTGGCCCTCTACCAGTTGCGCCCCTGTGCCTCCCGAGCCCCGCCGGGGTCGGTTGCACGACTCCTCGCTGATCATTTCAATATCATTGGTGTCGGAATCATCTCATTCCTGTGACCTGATGCCTGTGCCTTACCAACCCGTGATGCCAAAGCCTTACCAAGCCGTGATGAAGGGGATGTTTAACTACGTGGTCGTATTCGAGTCTGGATCCTGTTTGGCTTTAGGTCGTGTTCGAGAATGTCCCAAGCCGGCCGGCGGGCCTTCGAAACGACCGTCATGACCCATCTGCGGCGACCTTAGTGTGGCTGGACCCACTAGCTCCCACCAGTGGAACTGCCGCTTGAGTCCGCAGCGGCGGCACCAGGACCGGCTGTGGGTTTTCCGCGCACCGATCTCTGGTTATGTCTGATGCTCGATTAGTCCCTGGTTGCGTCATCGGAGGCCTCTGGACGCTCGGTAGGAGGATTGGCAATGGCAGCTTTGGGGAGATATACATCGGCAGGGACATTGAAACGGGAAGGGAAGCTGCAATGAAATTCGTAAGTCTCCCGCACGGTCCCAGGCAACCGGCCAGTCGGGTAGGTCAAACAGGGTGCTGTTGGTTCACCAATTGAAAAGAGCCGGCCGGCCCTCCACAGCAGCTTTCAGCACAGCAGTATGAACCACACAGTCAGTGTGTACCACACAGTCAGTATGAACCACACAGTCAGGATGAACCACACAGTCAGCAGGTAACCGGTGGCAGTTGATAGTAGTGTGTGCGCGGCGAGTGTGTGCGCGGCGAGTGTGTGCGCGGCGAGTGTGTGCGCGGCGATACGTACGATGGTTGTTGCAGGAGTCGTGTAAGGCGAAGCATCCGCAATTGGCATACGAGGCGAAGCTGTTACGTCGTTTGCAAGGCGGCGAGGGTATTGCGCAGTTGTATTACAGCGGCGTGGTGGAGGTGATGGTGTGTCGTGTGGTTAATGGGCCTTTAACAAAGGAATGTTTTACTGTGATGGTGACGGAATTATTGGGTCCATCATTGGAGGATTTATTTTGTCTATGCGATAGGAGTTTTAGTTTGCACACATTGTTAAGTTTAATGGAACAGATGTTGCGACGGATCGAGTTTTTGCACCGGAACTTGTTCATTCATCGGGATATAAAACCGGAGAATTTCCTACTGGGTCGGAATGAGAAGAGTAAGGTGTTATACATGATCGATTTTGGTTTGGCAAAGCGTTATCAAGATCCTCGCACAGGTGAACACATCCCATACCGCGAAGATAAAAGTCTGACAGGGACGGCTCGTTATGCCAGCATCAATGCACATCTGGGTATTGAACAGAGTCGCCGAGATGACCTGGAAGCGGCGGGTTATGTTATGCTCTATTTCGCGCGCAATGGTATGCTGCCTTGGCAAGGTCTCAAGGCCTCTAAAAAACAGGAGAAATACTCACTCATCATGGAACGGAAACTAGCTACACCTGTCGAAGTACTTTGTCAAGACCAACCACGAGAATTCATCCAATACCTCAGATACTGCCACTCTCTCAGATTCACAGACGAACCTGACTACCCACACTTACGCCGTCTGTTACAACTCGTGCGCATGCAACACCGAACCACCGCCACCAGCGGACACAGCTCCGCACTTACCGCCACCAGTGCTGGAGCTCTCGCTGACTCACCCGCAGACTGGAATTGCGCACGAACTACCACTGGGAAGAAAATACGCAAAAGAGAAAAAACTGACGTCGTCCCCTTCGCCTCACTCCTCTCCAAGGACCACAGCCCATACAGACCCCGAGGCAGCACTCAACAACTCCGAGGCAGCGCCGTCCGAGAAGAGTGACCAGTCGACGAACGAACTCACCCGTCGGTTCCGACGATAGTCGCATCCCACCCCACGGATCGGGGATGGGAGACTCCACCCGCAAGTCGACCACGAACTTGGGTGGGTGCCTCTCCATGAACCTTTGGGTAAGCTCGAAGAAGTGGGTCGGGAGTTCATTAACTGTTTATCAGTGTGGCTTGGTGTTATTAGGGCTGCTTCTCAGTACCAGTGGCAGTTCCAGGAGCAGCTTGGTAACACCGGAGTAGCTTGGTAACACCGGAGTAGCTGGGCGTTATCCAAAGTGAGGGTTCCTTGCTCGGTCTGGGGTATTCTGCGAGAAGGTTGCGTGCTGTTCTGTTTCAGTCAAAAAGTGCAGCGGCTTAGTGGGAGTACTTGGGGTTCGCGCGGGGCCGCGTGTGGCTTTTAGGGTTGCCAGCGGGGTTGCCGAAGTACTTCCGGGCCTTGCGGTTGCCAGTGGGTCCGCGGAGGATGAGGCAGTTCTCGCCAGTGGGGCACCGGATGGCGAGCTGGTCGAAGGTGAGGCACTCGCCGCCAGCGGCTTCGATGCGGGCGCGAGCGGCCTCAGAGAAGCGGAGGGCGCAGATGGTCATCTTGGGGATGCTCTCCACGCGGAGGTCGTTCGTGATGGTGCCCACCACGCAGCCGATCTTGTCCTCCTTGCTTTTCAGGTGCTCGGCCATCTTGGCCACACTCATGGGCGCCAACACGGAGTTGGTGCGGATGAGTAGGTGCGCAACCTTGGCGTTGAACGCAGAGTCCGTACGGCGAGCCAAGAACTCATACAAAGTCACCAAATTCTTGCGAATCGGAGAAGGAGACTGGCACTCCTTCCTCTGGTGCTTCTTAGCAGCCCTCAACTGTCTAGCGGGGATATCAATGGCCTACAAACACACCACTGTCAACAAGCGCGACCACAAAACAACGGGAGCCACTAGCGCCAGTCCCGCTGCCCGCCCGCACGCACACACGTGTGTGCGCGCGCGCAATCGGGACTCTGCAACCAGCAACTTGGCCTCAGGGCCTCAATACTCCAAAAGGTCGCTTACCATTTTACCGCTCTTTTAGTACCCACAACACTTGCGTCAAATTTATGTCGAAAAAACTCCCGTCGTGTCTTTCTTCGCGCAAAGGCCGCTGGCTCCAAACACCGGGACAAGCAGCGCTTGCCAGTGACGCAACCAACACCGCCTTCGCCTCCACGACGTTCTTTCATCCCTCCATCCGTCATGCATCGCCTATGAATGCGAATTGCTTAGATGATGTCACCGTTTGCCGTGCCACTCTCGACGGCCTTGTCGACCTCGTCGCTTCCGGCGTTGAATTGAGTGCCGCCGGTTGCGCGACTGCGACTCCCGATGGCTAAGATATATGATGACAAACATGATACCAAGGACGCCTGCCGCGGAGGCCAAATAGCCCAGCGAGAGGATGGCGTTATGGTACAGCCCATCTTCAGTTTCGTGTAACAGCGTGGACGTTGCGTGCGTCAACAGAAATGTGTGCCAGTCGCCAACGGCCGCCAAATCTCGCAATCGGTTAGACCGGATGTGCGGCTGCGTATACTGTGGGTACACGTACATCTGTTCGTGTCGCCAACCCGTCAAACCTGTCCCACCTATACATCGCATGGACCCTACTTGACCTTGCCAGCAATGAGCTATTTTTTTTCCGCCGTCGCGTGGCCCAACCGACCAGGACTTGCCGCGTTGGCAGCTGACTGCTCCGTCAGTTGACTATCGTGCCAGTTGAACGGTGATGCGGCACTCCTTTTCTTCCCGGTCCAGTCGTAGCACGCTGTCCACGAAGGCCCAGTTGGGACCCATGACAACTTCGTCGGTTTTTTCATGCTTAATGCCTAACCTATTTTCAAGGCGGACCAGTCTCCGTTCTTCCTCCGTGTCCTCTTCCTCCGCGCCATCTTCCTCCGCGCCATCTTCTTCCGCGCCATCTTCTTCCGTGTCTTTTTTCTCCAGGAGGCCATCAGTTTGATGGGCATCTAACTTGTTCCTTTGGTTATTTACAGCTAGATTGCAAAGTGTACCGGGAGTGTTTGTGGAACAGAAAGCATTGGGACGGACCTTGTACAGCAGCGTAACTTGTCCCATTGTCACGGGTGTGTCCAACCGCCGGCTTAACTGCAGGGCTATCCGGTATTTGAGCATTAGGACTGTGGTCACGTCGGGGAATATTTGAAACGACGACAACTCAAACGACGACAACTCGACGGGATTTTTGAGACGGTGCACCTCTCCGGCCGGCGTCAGTCGGATTGTGGGTCTGACGGTGGTAGGTACAAGTTCCTCAGGGGGACTGGGATTCAGAAGCAATTCTGGATCGAAGTTGACTTGATGTGTTTTGAACAGTTTTTCCAGCCAGCTCATTATCAATAAAAGGCCATCCTCAGTTACATCATCGGCCGTTAAAGAATTAAGCTGGCCATTCGGCGGTATGCGTTGAGAGCAGTCAATAAGCTTGGTGGTATATCGACTGGGGACGCCTGCCTTACCTAACACGTCGAAGAGGAGTCCACGCTGATACAGACTGATTGTATACAGTTCAGCCTCTTCCCTCGTGTCCGTTCCAACTCTGCCGGTAGCAACACCGCTATGTATCTTGGTGCCGTTCAAATCTTTGAGCAAGGGGAAAATGGAGACGGCAATGTGTCTAACTGTTTGCGTAGGATTGACATCGCCTTTGAACGAAGTTTTGGGATACGCGATCTTAAGGGACCGTACCTGAGATGCACAACTGCTTAACTCCAGCAACTCGTACCAATTAAGAAACGAATCGCGGGCGGTCACCTCCTCCAGACGCATAGGGGGACCGCCACCAGAAAACATCAGCTGACCCTGCTCGAGCACCAGGCCGTGGACTTCGGCAGGTAAAGAGGCCAACAGCGGGAGCGTCAACTTCTTCAATCTCAATCGCAAGCTCTTGATCTGAAACGTCGACTGTGACGGCTCACTCGTGCACGGTCGGGCCTCCGAGAAAATAGCGGCTAACTCCTGTTCGTTCTGAACGCTACCTGCCAAGTCTAAGATGTCGACAACATCCCCTAGGCGGTGTATCAGCGCGCATATATGCCTCGTACGTCCAGAAGGAGGGGCATCTGGGGGGTCGTGAAGGTCTCGAAGCTTTATACTCCGCAGCCAGGACACGTTCGCATTGTTCTCGAGCGGGCGGCTAAAGGTGTGGAAAAGACCAGTGCAGCCAGATAGATCCAGAGATTCCAGTTTTGGAAACGCGCGCTTGAGTTCCATTATTTCCGACCAGTCGAACACACCTCTGTTTCGACTAATATCAACACAAGTTACATAGCCACTTAAAATTTCAGTATCCTTCTCAAAGGAAGCACCTAGGTATAGAAGCGTCTCTTCCTTGGCACGAATCTCCCCCGGCGTACCCCTTTCCGAGCAGTCATCGGGCCAAATTTTGGATAGGAGTGTGTCACAGAAAGAAACTGCTGTGCGTCGTGATAGCATCTGCGCGATGTCCGACGATCTGTACAGATGTTTCCTGCCTAGTTCCTCGCAGTATGAGTTTATTGCAAGTGTGACCAAGCTCAACCCGTAGCTCCAACTCCGTATATGTTCGATCGGGATAAAACTAACGTCTTGATAAACTGGCACGAAAAGCTCTACCCCTTCATCGTTCATTCCGCTGGTTCGCGTCCCCCGGAGAATGATCTGACACCTATTTGGAATGCTGCAACCCGGGCTGTAGCCCTGGATAGAACTGTGAACGGCGGTACCATTAGCGCCGGTACCATTAGCAGCAGTACCATTAGCAGCAGTACCATTAGCAGCAGTACTATTAGCGGCAGTACTATTAGCGGCAGACACTTGGATTTCACATTTGTCGCTTTCACCAGTTCCTTGGGCGTACTGACTCACATCGGGATCCCAGGAAATGCCGACACAAGGTCGCTCCTTTACAATGCCCTGGTACTGTTGCCAGCCGCTCGAGATGTAGAAGATTGATCCTTCCAGATGAACATTTTGTAGCAGCTGCGTATCGCTTCCCAGTAGTTCCGGTCGCAGTTTTGCCGCTTTACTGAAAAATAGAAACCGTGCTATCTCTCCAGTCGACTTAGGGCAGTCCACGTCCCGGTCGTCCATTACCCCCGGACAGAAGGTGTTCAAATCTTGGGGCTAAAAATAATGCCTGGGGACCGAGAGGCGTCAGCGGCAGCAGCTGACGAGCCGAGAAAAGGCAACCCCGCAAGCGCTATTGGGGAGCGCGCTGCGGAACAGAACGCGGATGCGGGTGCAGCTCGTGGGAATGCGAATGACGTCCATGCCCTTCAAACAAACCACGAAATTAACGCCGAACCTGTTCTACCAGAGGATACTGTCGAGGCTAAGACTAAGGATGCGGCCAAGGCTGGAACTGCCAAGGCTGGAACTGCCAAGGCTGGAACTGCCAAGGCTGGAACTGCCAAGGCTGGAACAGATGACGCGACCAAGTCTGCGACAGAGGACGCTGCCGAGCTGGTGGTTGATTCCGAGCCGGTTGTTGTTCCGAAACCCGCGGAGGAAGGGGTGGTGCAAGAAGAGCAAGAGGAAGACCCGTTGGATGCGTTTATGAAGTCTCTACCCACCCAGAAATCGAACCCTCGGGGCGAGGTTCTTTGGGAGGAGGACATCGAGCCTGTTCCCCGAACGCCCACCAAACGAAGTCTGAACGAGCGCGAAGTGGAGGATGAAGATGCAGACGACAACGAGCTTGTTCGAATCAAACGGTCAGAGCTGGCAGAGCTCAAGGCCGCCAAGAAGCGCAGGCCAGAAGTCCTGAAAGAGAAGCTGCCGAGCGCCGACGAAGAAGACTCCGACGACGATGAGGAAGATGAAGAAAAGCGGCGAATAACCATTCCGTCGTCTTTCGACTGGAATGCCATGCTTGCCCGGAGCGCCCGGCCGCCGCCTGTTACAGCATCAGTATGCAAAAAATGACCGTCACCGATATATTTGTTCTCGCGGGCGCGCGCGCGTGTTTGTTCTCGCGCGCGCGCGTGTTTGTTCTCGCGCGCGTGTTTGCGCGTAAAGCCAATCGGGTTAGGGTGAAAAGATGCATTAAAATTCTACGCTATAAGGTCTTGTATTTGTAGAATGGATCTGGCCTGGGAGCAGCGCCCCCAGAGAGATCGGCGGCGCTCAGACGTCGGCTAAGAGTAGCCGTTCAAGGCTTTAACGTTCCGGGATGCGTATCATCGTATGATGAGGTGAAGGAGCGCGCAAGAAAATGGAAGGTAAGCAACTGGTCACCCGGCGAGGCGATCACCCGGCGAAGCGATCACCTCGACGAAAGGATTGTGCGCAGCGATTCCCAGAGAGGCGACAACTTCTTCACTTCATATAGATCACTCCTAACGAGCTAGTGAAACACTGCAAAGAGACCTACATTGTGCCGGGTGGACTGGAGGGTCAGCTTCTGCCAATTCTTTGGAACAACCGCAGCGCATACTGCATTATCGATTTCCATTCTCCCGGAAAGCTACTTACTGGAGTTGAAACAACGAACCAAAAAATCGCGTTGTCAGAATTCAACATAACTAGACTTGCCATTTGCCTTTACTTGGATGTTCTTGAGAAGCTCAACGAAAACTCGAGTAAACAAAAAGCACTAGTCTTGCTGGTTTTGTGCGCGACAGATGAGTCGTCCGTTCTACTAGGTCAAGCCATGCTCAAAGCCAGAGCTTGGGCAAAGCATCAAGAGCAAATTCAGGTAAGCCGTCCTAGTCCCGTTATAAGCCGTTCTAGACCTCTTATATTTGATGCTTTCCACCAAATGCTTTATAGATATCGATCATTACAAATGAGTGGAAACAATGCGTGGGTGAATCGCGACTGTCGTCGAGCGAAGTATTGGTTTGCAGCGCTGTGCAGCTATGTCATTTGGTAGAAGAGAAACAAGTTGATTTCGGGAATGGGAGTGTGCTGGTGGTTACGGATTTGTCAACTACCGAAAAAATCGACGGGTCGTTAGTGAAAATTGCACAAAACTTGTTAGGCAGAGAGACGGAGCCGCAGATGCTGTATATATCGGACCACCGGGATCCAGGCGTGGAGGACTACTTCAAGTCCTTCATTGGCCGCGGTATTAAGGTGGGTATTGGCGTTGACGGAGCGGGAGCTGTTATCTCTCGAAGACCCGGCCCGGTGCAGAACCGATTTCTCCGGTTTGCGACGGAGAGCAAAAAGTATAAGTGGCTGGAGGGAGCACTCCCGACATTGGGCGGCTACGGGAAGATTCTGGTGTTCTGTAGCACAGAAGAGCGAGCCGTGGACGTTGCGACCCTCCTTCGAAACAGAAAGTCGAGCCTTAACGGCAAAGCACCTGCTGGTAAGCCACTTGGTGGTAAACCGCTTAGCGGGAAGCCTGTGCCGCGGCCCGAGACCAAACCTATCTCGGTGGATGTCTTGCAGTGGATAGACTTGACGGATAGTTTGACGTTCGAGGTGCGGACGCGGTGCAACCAGTGCATCGTCACGACCACGCCGGTGGCCGTGAAGGGGTACCGCAATTCGCTGCAGAGTTTCCCGACGGTTGTTCATTACGACTTTCCGCGTTCGCTCCATGAGTTCCAGGAACGCTCCTCTCTGGTCGCCTCCACCACGACCAGCGAGACTCCGGATGCGCACGCGGGGGCGGCACACAACTATGTCGCCCTCGTCGAGTCACCGGACTGCGTCGTAGCTGCCAAGTATATCGCCTGGGCCTTCCGTCAGACCGACCAAAGCGTGCCCGAGGTGCTGGAGCGAATCGCCCTCAAGAACATCGACTACAAACAAGCCATCGCAGGCAACGCTTCGGGAATGCCCGAAGACACAAACGAGGTGGTTGTTCGCAGGCAACTGGAGCCATCGCATGGGTACTCAGGAGACCCCACGCCTTCGCTAGAAGGAGCGGATCACTACCACGGTCGCACACACCTTGGTGGTGGCACAAACTTTGGCGACAGGCACCCCCAGGTCCCTCATGGCGCCCACACGGGGGAAAGCCATACCGGGAAAGACCATAACCCGCCCGTGGGCGCACCGGTGGTCAACGCTGTCAAGTCAGTAGTCAGTGCCGGGCGGTCACCAGTCACGCCGGCTTCCGAGGCCGACGTAGGCCAGCGACGAGTCTCGTCACCGAGACAGGGGGAGGGCCCGATTGGGCTGACGCAAGCCGCACTGGGGCTCCCACAGTTGCTCTCCTTGGCGATGATGCAGAGGGCCGGACCCCGCTCGGACGGCTCGGACGACTCGGATGATTCTGACCTTTGCTGCACGGACGAGCCCGTGAGCGTGGCCACGGCTGCGGGGTCGCAGCTGGCCAGCGACAGCTTGCTCGTGGACAAGGCGGTCTTGCTTGACCGCCGTCAACGCAACCTGGCCCGGTTCAAGGAGCTGCGTCAAGAAGAAGCGCTACGGGAGGCATCCAGGACGCGAGAACAGAACCAACCAGACCTCCCGGCCAGCCTGTTGCGGCCCCATGCGGTTCCTAACCCGCTGGCCTTTGGCTACGAACCTACCTCCGTGACCACGAGAACCGGAGCTCCCATTACCACGGAAGCCGGTACTCACATCACCGCCGGTACCGGTACTGCCGGTACGGGGTTTGACTACTTTCTTCCGCCGAGTCAGTTCCTACGAGGAACACCTGGATTCAATCTTTCTGCTGCAGAACTTGCCTGCGATCCAGGACTCGCCTACGGTCAAGGACTGGCCTACGGTCAAGGACTGGCCTACGGTCAAGGACTGGCCAAACCGGAGGGGTGTCCCGGTTCAGCGAGTTTTGGTCCGACAAGTTTTGCTGTAGGTCTTGGCGCGGCAACTCTAGGTTTCGGAGGTCGTTGCGCTGACGGTGGATTGCCGCTGCGCGATGCTGTGAACGCAACGCCTGTCGCAGGAGCGGCTAAGAGCAAATTGAATCCGGAAGCGCAAGCTGTCTTGGACCGAGTGAACGCTCGGCTGCTCAACCACGCGGGAACCCCACCACGGTGACAGAACTCCCTACCACGGGGAAGGGGGGAAGGGGGGG